ATCATAACATTACAAATTTATTTTTGCTTTAATGATGTTTGTATTTCAAACCATTAAACAAAAACATCACGTTATGTTAAATTATCGATAAATTTATTCATTTATTTTTAAATATTTTCTATTTCCTTTTAATTCAGAAATACATTTTTAATGTGAAGTTAAATAATAATAGTAGAAATCATGTAATAATAAAATAATTAAAATAATGGTTATGTAACATTCGATAAAATATTTTATTTTTTAAAAAATATTTTGTTGTTTTTCATTTAAATAAAATGTATTGTGAAGAATATTTTTAAAAAAATGTTGAAATGTAGTTATTTATTTCAAATGAAAATGAAATGTTTTTTAATAATAAATAACTTCAATTTTTCAATTTGATAAATAAATAATTGACATGTTTAATTATTATTTAAAATGACTATCAACTGACAACAATCAATGAATATTAAATAAATTAAATTATTTATCATTTGAAATATAAGTGGTTGAAAATATATTTTGTAAATTCAAAATGAAGAAGAATGTTTGAAAGAAAATAATGACACAAAATCAGAAAGTAAAGAAACAAGATTAACATAATGAGAAAGTGATAAATGAGATATTTATTATTATTATATCTGTGTTACAAGACACAGCAGAATGAAAAGAATATATCTGAATAAATAGTGTTGATTATATTAAATAAATTAAATTAAGGTTTAATAATTTTTAACCTATTGTTCATGTGAGAATAATAGTGTTGATTATATTAAAAAATAAAAAGAATTTTAAATAATCAATATTGTTTTGAATTTTAACAATGTTTTCATAAAATAATAAAACAATGAATAAAATGATATAGAATGTTTTTTTCAAATATTAGACATTTAGAGACGTGTTTGTATCATGTTGATTAAATGTTATTAGTATATTCATAAAGAAGTTCATGAAGAAAAGAAGAAAACAAAAGTAGATAATTAACAACAAAAATTAATGGAAATTTTTAATGGAATAACTGGAAAATATTCATTTCCATTGTAATTTAATGAGTCAAAAAGTTTATCTTGTTATAATAATACAAAAAGCTAAAATGGAATTGTAAGGATGATGACAAGGAAAAATATTAACACCAAATAATGAAGAAGAAGTTGAAAAAGAGATGATGCTTATCATAGCATTAACGATGAAAAAGATAAAAAAAGAATAAAACATTAAACAAGAAAAGAATAACCAAACAAATAAAAATAAAGAAATTGCAAAGAAATAAAAGAAAGAAATATATAGAATAAATTAATTATTGTGATTTGGAAATTGAAAGAACTGAAACTAAATAATTTATTCTTCATAAAAATTAACAAGAAAGAAGTGAAAGAAATAAACAGAAAACAAAATTACCAAAATATTTGTATTTGTAAAAGAAGATATTGAATTTGTTGAACAAGAAGAACTAGAAAATAATTTGTCATTACTATTCATTATAAAGAATAAATAATTAAAATACTAATTAATAAGTATGATTATGGAACATCATTAGAAAGACGATATGATTCTATTTCTACAATATAATTTGATGAAATAATTAAAAACATTAAATAAACTAAATGAATTTTTATTTAAATTTATTTTCAATAATTTAATATAAAATATGATGGTTTATATTTTATACAAACAATAATTTCAATAGAATGAATAATAAATGAAATACTTAATATAATAAATATTAAAGTTAAACAGTATTTTATTCAATGAAATATTAATTATTTATCATTCTTTTTATTTCATTTTGTCTAAATTACATTATTCTCATTAATATTCATTTCATCACTTTATTAATATTTGTTATTAGTTAATTTGAAAATACAACAAACAATCGTTCTTTAATATTCGTTTTCTTTAATTGAATTATACTCGTATTGGAGAGATGTATTACAGGAGACACCACAAAAAATATAAAAAAATAAATAACCAAAAAAGAAGAAATTCATATCAACCAAGAAATATAAATGACAGAAGAATGAGTGAAAATAGGTATTATCTGTATTGACAGAAATACATCAATAATCACACTAATCATTACAATAACAATTATCACCATAATTATCATAACATAGATGATACAAATTATTTCACTCATCACTTCAATCATAACGATCGTCATAAATACTTTAATAAAAATTTCAATAGAAATAAACAATATTATCATAATAGAAATAAATACCATAATAACACACAAAGAAGATATAAACGATATCAAAATAAGAAACAAAATAGAAATCAAAGAAAAGAAATGATTGAAACACAAAATCAAGAATATTGGAAAAGACTCTTTGAAGAAGAAATTAAAATACTTACACCACAAGAAATAGAAGAAATAAATAAAACCGAGAATAAATAATATACATCATCAACAATATGGAGAATATGGTATTTTCTTGTGCGAGAAAAAACAAAAACAAATAGAATGGAAGAAGAGACTATTAGTATGACGATGGAAGAAGACAATAAACAATACAACCCAATTGAGATTAATAATAATAAAATATAAAATAACTATGTAATGAGTATTGAAAGTGAAGAAGAAAATGATAAAGAATTTAATAAAAAGAAGAAGATTGATTAAGAGAAGAAAGTAATGAAAAGGAAAAAAGTATAAGAATTAGAAAAGTGGAGGAGGATATGAAAGAGAAAGAAGAAATGAAAAAATGAAATACAAGTAAAAGAATAAACCATTAAAAAACTAACAAGAGATATTATGGCATTAAAGAAGAAGCATAAGAATGAGATAAGCACAAAAATAAGAGTATGATAAAAAATATTTGAATTCCATGCTGAGTCTGAGAGGAAAAGGTCTGAAGTAAACAATTTAACACAACAATTATTATTCCTGAAAGATAAATTATCTAAATTAGAAAATAAAAATACACAGGAAAAAAAGAAGAAAGATGAGATAAATTACAATATAACAGACTCATCTGAATCACAAATAGTAAATGACCTCTCAACCAATGTGGTAGTAGCTGATGAAATATCATCAAGTGAAGATGATCTTCAAAAAAAAAAAAAGAAAGTTAATGCAGAAATCCATTGAAGAAATGGATATTCAGCATAAGAAGATCACCACATTGGAATTAGACAAGCAAAAAAACAAGGGGAAGCAAACAGACAGAAAAGAAGAAAATTTTAACACAATATAAATGTTTTGTTTTGAAATTATTTGAAAGAAAATTAAGAGGTCAACTAAAAGAAGAAATAATAGAAAGATTAATACAAGAATTTGGAATTAAAGTAAATGATATTAATGAATATAAAGAAATAATAAAGAAGACATTTAAAATAAAGAATGAAATTAAAAGAGAAATAAACAGAATAATGGAGGAAGAAATAATAAAACATCAATGGAATGATAATGAAATAAAAGAAATAATAACTAGAATGAACAAGAAAGAAGAAATAGAAGAATTTGAAGTAATGAAAATATTTAAAGAAGAAGAAATGAAAGAACAAGAAGATGTACAATTTATTAACTACTGTTATAATAAGAAGAAAATAAATCAAATAATTAATATTATTAATAAAAATGAAATATTAATCAATACATTAGATGATTATTATCATTATATTAAATCTGTAGCTTCCACTATTAACATCATTAATAAAAATAAACAAGAAAGAAGTGGAAAGAAAAGTATAGAAAGAATAATACAATCAAAAATATGTAGATTAAGAGATTTACTCCATAATAAACAATATATGAAATTAAAAAGAATATTACATATTAAGAAAAATGATATATACCATATTAAAATAAAAACAAATGAACAAATAAACTATTATAAATACCTTCGAAAGATGAAAAGAATAGAAATAGAATCAAGAAAGAATAAATGGAAAAGAATAAGATGGAATTATAAAATGATGAAATATGGGAAAAGACAACATCTAAATAAGCCTAAAGAAGATGAATATCCAGATAATATCTCCATTATTAATTTCTGGAAAGGAATCTATGAAACTAACACTAATATAGATTTCCTGAATATTAATTTATATGAAGTATTAATAGAAAATAGAATTAATAATAGAATGTCTATAATCACTCCCAATGAATTAGATTGTGCTATTAAATTTATTGATAATTTGAAGGCACCGGGAGTTGATAAAATACAATGATTTTGGATTAAATAATTAGAACAACCAAAGAAATATTTATTAAAATTATTTAATGAATGGTTAAACAATCCTAATGAAATACCTCTTCATTTTATTCAAGGAAGAATAATATTAATATATAAGAAAGATGATAAATTAGACCCACAGAATTACAAACAATAATTTGTTTCAATTGTCTGTTAAAAGTATATACATCAATACTAAAAATGAAAATAGAAAGCCAGCTGATGTTAAATCCAATTGAAAAACAGCTATCATTAAATCAAATTATATGTAAGAAATATACATATGCATCAAAAGAAGGATTATTATACAACACTATAATCCAACAATTATTAATAAAGAATAAATGGAAGTGGGTAGAAACATATTATGACATATCCAAAGCATATGATAGTATTAACCATCAATGGATTAAACAATGTTTAATTTATTTTAATATCAAACTAGTAGTAATTAATAGTATATCATATATATTAAATAATACATAACTTAATTTGTATTATAATCAATAAAGTGTGGGTATAATTAATGTAGAAAGAGGAATAATACAAGGTGATAGTTTATCTCCACTCTTTATTTGTATTATCTATTGACATACTATCTAAACAATTAGATAAACAAATAATCAAATTAAATATTAAAATGAATGGAGAAGAAAAACAAGTCAAATTAAACCACATATTATATATGGACGATTTAAAGATAATAACTAATAGCCTCGATGAAATGGAAAAAGCACACAAATTAACTAAAGAAATAATAATGGAATATGATTCAAAAATAAAGAAGATAAGACAAATAAAAAAAAAGAAGAGAAAAAAAAAATAAAAACTTGAAAAAAAAGAATGAAGAGTGAGAAGAGACTGCAAGAACGATTTGAAAAAAGAGAAGGAATAAAATGGCATGATAATATTTATGAACAACTAGAATATGAAAAGGAGATAATTGAAAAAATAAAAAGAGGAGAAATGAAGAAAGAGGAAGAAGAAGCAGAAGAAATACAAATTAAAGTGGGAGAAGAAGAAGAAGAAGGAAAAATTAAGATAAACGTCATTCGACCAAGTCAATATAAAGAAGTTAAAGTAAGAATTTATGTTAATGGAGAAGAAGAAATATTTGATAAAAAATATGAATGGGTGATGAAAGAAGGAGTTGACAATATTGAAGTTGAAAAGCCAATGGTTGAAGGAATATTTGATATTAGAGTAATGTATGAGAAAAGCAAATTAATCCAAGAAAGTAAATATATTTTTAAAGAAGCAAAAGGAAACGACTATATTCATATTGAAAAAGTTAAATATCAAGAAAATAATAAAGAAATGACAGGAATTCAAGTTAAAATAGAAGAAGGTAAAGCAGAAGAAGGAGATTTTGTATGTATTTATTTAGCAAGTAATACCAAAAATAAAGAATTTATTCGGAAAAAATGTCTTGAAAATAAAACACTAACTTTTTTCATTCCTTTATCAAATAAAGGAACTTACTTTCTAAAATACTTTAGAAAACCTGTTACTGAACCAACACCATCTTCACCATTTATTCACATTCAAAGATTTGAATTTTAATTGATAATTCAATACTATTTCATCTTTATATAA